ATGAATAATTTGCTTAGTCAACCCTACAAAAAATTGAACCAATAACAAAGAAAAATAATTGTTATTTGCCTTAAAACATTAATCCTAACATGCACGAATAATTTTGATACTCTAAATCTTAGTACATAACAAAGATACAAAGTAAAAGCATCCCAACTTGCACCATAACATCATAAACATTAACATAATATCATATGGAGACACGATTATCTCTACTCTCTCGTTAAATGTGGTTGTGAATGAAGGAGGGACGAGATTCACAAAACTAAGGTTGAGACTTGGGTATCGTTTTGGGAGTTGGGAGAGTGGTTGAATGGGCTGTTAACACGTATTGACAAGTCAGTTTGGTCCACGGTTTGGCCGGTAAACCGCGGTCTAGACCAGACCAGACCAAGAGATCAAAACATAAAATAATACAGACCATGTACCAGACCAGACCATACTTAACGGTCTACTGTCCGGACCAAACTGTGCGGTACGATTTGGACCACGGTTTTTCTAACGGTCTGGTCTATTTTCCCAGCCCTAGTATACAATACAAATCCAATTAGTTAAATTTTGGTTAAATACACTTGTATATCCAAAACTTTCACGGTTGTGCCAATAATATCCAAATTTTCCGAAATACCACTTATATCCAATTCTTCACATTCTTTAACGGTGTTTTTGGATATACGAGTGTATTTAACCAAAAATATATTGGGAAATGGATAGATTTGGCAAAGAATAACTTTAAAACATGGATATAAGTGGTATTTCAGGAAATTTGAATATTATTGGCACAACCGTGAAAGTTTTGGATATACAAGTGTATTAAACCTTAAATTTTAAAATGACTCCCTCTAAATTCATCACTAAGTCAAACCATTGATCATTACAAAAAAAGCAAATAGAAGATTTCCTATTGCATGTGTTTAGATAACACCATTAGCTGTTAAAATATCCGACCCTAATCACTGCTGTTATCACTTAGGTGTGAAGAGGTTATCTAGTAGCAATAATTGGAGAGTTTGATCAATACTCAAGCTACAAAACGGTGTTAATGATAAAAAGGACAAAATAAGAAAATAACGAGGAAACTGTGCGCATTCGAGAAATCGGTAACTTTTGTTCTGTGCTTGCTTTGCTGCCGTAGTGCCGTTCCCCCACAGAGCCAGCGGAGCCGTGAAGCTGTCGCCTTTTGTATTATCCTGCGCATATAGTTTTGGCTTCTCGTACCTCCTCCATAGTTGGTTTCTTACTTGGCCAGGCCATCATCTACACAAAGTCACAAACACGGAACTGCCATTAAAAAAAATAACATTTCTCATTGTTTTAGTTAGCCTGCGATCATCCGCCGGGCTCCCCTCCAAAAAGTCTCACTGCTCTCACTTTTCCAACCCTGAACAGACCATGGTTTTTCCAGGTTGATCTCTTATGTTATCAGTTTTAGAAAATTATGCGTTTGTTGGTGCCTGGTTTTGGGTTTTGCGTTTCTAATCAAACGGAGGTGGTTGGTAATTTCTGCTTCGGATTCCACTCGGGAATTGGGTTTCTGGGGTTCGGAATCTTGTGGACATGACGATGGGTCTCCGGGAAGTTCGTGCCTGGACTTTGGCCGGGCTTGTGGCGGCTTTTGTTGATCTTGCTATTACCTATTCCCTCCTCTGCTTGTCCGCTTTTGCCTTCCTTCCCTCTAAATTGCTGGGCGTTCTGGGGATTGGGTTTCCTTGTCCTTGTTGCGGCTGGTTTGGGTACCGTAATACCGACTTTTGCTTGTATATGCTGCTGATTAATTGGCCGATTCAGAAGATCCTTTCTGTTCAGGAGCTGGTGAAGAGTAGGTTCCCTTTTGATTTGGTGTGCTGTAATGAACATGATTGCTGCAGTTCACAGGCCGAGGGAGTTAGGGATGAAGGGAAATGTCGAAATGGGGTTGCTGAACTGGAGGGAGAGGCAGTTTCCGGTCTGTTTTTGGGTTCAAAATTGGCAAACGATGAGAGTAGATGTGATAATGCTAAGGGCAGAAAATTTGCGAGTCCGAAGCAGAAGTCTGTTGAAAGGAGGCGGCGGAGAGCTGCAATAATCGCACATCAGAAGCATTCCACTGGTCTTGCTTCTAACTTCATTAGTCGCCCCACTGCTGGCCAGTGTGGTGAAAGCTGCATCCAGGATCTTGTAAACGGAGCACAACATCGTCATCGATTGGGTGAGTTAACATTTGCCCTTCAGAAGATCTCATAATATTAGCTCCGTTATACTAAGCTCTGGTACTTGTTATATGTATACTGACTTCCATATTGCCTTGTAACTTCACTAGCTATATATATTGTATAATCTAGACCCTTTTGTGTTTACTGTCCGCGGGAGTTACTCTTTCTAACGTGATGGTTGATACCAATTTGTAATTATGCTATTTTAGGACTCCCGAATGCTCCGACTGTCATGGGTCTCGCTGAAAAATTGATGTCCAGTTTTGATCCTGTTGAACCAAGTGGAAAGGGGAAAGGACCCAGTGAGATGGCTTCATCATCATCTGTTGAGAAATCTGTTACTATAGCTGAAGAGGTAGCGGACAACGTGGTAAAACACTTGAATACTATCAGAAATCTGGAACAAGCACTTGAAGAAGAGAAAACCGCTCGTGCTTCCCTTTACCAAGAACTAGAGAAGGAGAGAGCAGCTGCTGCAAGTGCCGCTGACGAAGCAATGGCCATGATATTGCGGTTGCAAGAAGAGAAGGCGTCACTGAAGATGGAACTGAGGCAGAGTCAAAGGGTGGTGGAGGAAACGTTTGCCTATGATGAAGAGGAGATGAACGTGCTGCAGGAGATCCTTATCAGGCGGGAGAGGGAGATCTATTTCCTTGAGAAAGAAGTGGAAGGTTATCATCAGCAGTTGACCCCACCGACAAATGTGGAGGTGAATGACGATGTGAGTTACTATAACTTGGATAAGAGTCCAGTCTCACCGTTGACATTCTCCAGGGATGATGACTCTCTGTCAGCGTATGAGAAGGAAGTGGAAATAAGGGCAAATTTGTCATCAATTTGTGAAAGAACCTCTAGGTTACAACCTGTGGAAGAAATAGCGTCAAAGCCCAAGGGTTTAGCTTTCGATTTACCTCCTGTACCAGAAGAGTTCCAGCAGTGGAAAGAGGAAGTGGTTGGCGAGGAACTAGAAGAAAATGTTGAAAATGTGAATCGAAGGGACAGTGATGCGTTCAGTTCCGTGGTTGAGACAGAATTGACTGTGTACGATGTTCACGTCATAGATGATGCGGCAATGCATAGTAATGGTAGAAGGGGAACAATACCCACCAGTACATATGTTGAGCATGCTGGTGCTTGGAGCAGTAAGTTGTCATGTGTTTCTTCTCCAAGAATGAGCATGGCAGAGATCAAGGGCATTGACGTGCAGAGTCCTTCTGGCATTGATGGCATAAGATCAAAGTTTGACTCAGAAGTTGGACGGCTCCAGGAAAGGTTGCGAATCTTGCAACAGAAGGAGAAATTAACTTTCTCTGCGGAGAACAGTGAGAAATTTAGTGCCCATTTGAAAATGATGGAGGAAATTCTCAACCATACGACAGGTTCAACACCTTTAGAGAACCAGCAAGGCAAGCTTCTTTCCCTCCTGAGTCGCCTAAGGTTTCCCTAATATCAAGAATACTACCCAATTCTTTTCTAGCGTACATATGGTCTTTTCATTCTTATGACTAGTGTCTAATAAATACTACTACTAGAGAGCTCCAACTGGTCTTGCTCAAGAAGCCGTGTCAGAGTTGTAGTTTTGCATACTTGTAGCTATTGATCAAGCATTACCTTGTTTTTGGCTCGATAAGCAAAGCCTTTACGTTTCCTGACCAGTTGACTTTCTTTGGCCCCTTTTCAGGAAAGCTTGAATGAATGACCGCAGAATGAAGCCTCAGAAAACCTTTTCAAAGTCATCAGAACACGCCGTAGTATCAGCAATGTAATTAATCTCTAATAATATACGTGCTTGTGGTGCAGGGTGCTGTCAGATCTTGTACTCAATAGTCAGTCGATGGTCAACCCGTGGAATGTAAATGATTGAATATTATCATCTCTTGTAAATTTTGTGTTGTTTGTAGAGAGTTACATGTTCTGGCGTGATGCCATCTTCCATCTTGAGAGTTGTGTTTCTCCAGACATATTTCAATCCCCTTGTCTACAGAGTGGGCTAAATGATTATTTTGTTTTGTTAAGCTAGTATTCTGTTAAAGGGAATTCGTCCTCCCAGATATTGATTTCTTCAAGCGGTCACTGCTTTGCTGCTGAAAATATAGGGTTCGGGTAGGTTTTGGGACAGGGTAGTCGCAGTAGTTCAGCTACAGATCAATTGTTGAATGAATGTAGTCAAAATGGTGTTTTAAAGATTAAAATCTTATGTTTTTAGGTTATCCAAACGCTTTTATGTAGAGTCGTGTTTTTCGGCTTAATTGCAAGTTTGGTCACCCGAATTGCTTAAAAATTTCACGTTTGCCACCCGAATTGATTTATTCCATTTATAGTCACTCGAATTAGCTGAACAGTCCAAGTTCGGTCACTCTCCGTTAACCTCCGTTAGACTCCGTTAATGACGACCGTTAAATGATGACGTGGCTAACAAAAAGACACAGTCAGCACATTTAAACATTAAAAAACGACGACCCGACCCGCCAGCTCAGCCTTACCCGCCCAGTCAACCATTCTTGCCCAACCCGCGAACCAACCCAATTAATTGACCCTAAACCCAAATCCAAGACCCAAACCACCCTGAAAAATAAATCGCAGATGGATTAGGGCATTTCCCTTCCTCCATCTTCATCCTCTCATCCTCCGGCGCCGCCTCTCTCCTCTCATCCTCCTCGCTCGTCAACGATTACAACCGTCGGTCCCCTAATCGGAGCAGCATCCGCAGCTTCTTGGCTGGCCGGGTTTCGACGCATTCCATCTCGAAAGTCGCCGGGTCAATCGAGTCCGAAATCCGGGCCTGAAAATCGGTACGATTGCTCTGCTCTCTGATCAAATTGATCAGATCGCCGCTCGTCGACGAAATCGAGTACAACGGCGAGATCCCGAGGATCATTCGGCTGCTGGACTGTAAAGATCAGGAGACGAAGGTTATGGCGATGGATTGCGTGCTGGAAATGGGGTATTTTGGGAGGAAGGAAGCCATCGACGCGATGCTTGGAGAAGGGTTGATCGAGAAGCTGTTGGAGCTGCAGAGATCGGAATTGGGCGGGGATTTGATCGGGATGGAGAGGTTCGACTCTGACTCTGAATTCGACTCTGATTCCGACGGCGGCGGAGAAGGGCAGAAGAAGAAGAAGAGGAAGGAGAAGGGGTTTTTGGAGAGGCACCCGTTTGCGAGCTGCGTGGCGAGATTCGCCGTGCAGTTGGAGGTCGGAGAAGGGCTGCGGCAGAGGGAGAAGAGGGCTCTGAAGCCGGAGATTCTGCGGCGGGTGAAGGAAGGCTGCGTCTCCGACGCCGAAGCCACCACCATTGTCGCCGAAGTTCTCTGGGGATCCTCGCCGTGAATAAGTAAAGGAGAGAGGCGGCGGGGGAGGATGAGAGGATGAAGATGGAGGAAGGGAAATGCCCTAATCCATATGTGATTTAATTTTCAGGGGGGTTTGGGTCTCGGGTATGGGTTTAGGGTCAATTAATTGGGTTGGTTCGCGGGTTGGGCAAGAATGGCTGACTGGGCGGGTAAGGCTGAGCTGGCGGGTCGAGTCGGGTCGGGTCGTCATTTTTTAATGTTTAAATGTGATGACTGTGTCTTTCTGTTAGCCACGTCATCATTTAACGGTCGTTATTAACGGAGTCTAACGGAGGTTAACGGAGAGTGACCGAACTTGGACTGTTCAGCTAATTCGAGTGACTATAAATGGAATAAATCAATTCGGGTGGCAAACGTGAAATTTTTAAGCAATTCGGGTGACCAAACTTGCAATTAAGCCCGTGTTTTTCCCTTATTAATGTAGTTAAAATCGCGTTTTAATGCTTAGAATCTTATACTGCTATACTTCTAAATCACCAAAATGCTTTTACGTAGAATAACGCTTTTGAATGCATTACTTATACGTATTGCCGACTTCTATAAGATTTAAAGTAGTTCCCGATGATTGATGAGCTTGGATACTTGTACTTGGCTGACAAGGGCGAGCGAGGGAATCATCGACTACTGGTGGACGATGCAACTCGAGATAGTTCAATGTGAGTATGGCTTCCTGGGGACTTCTTCGCAAGGCTTGAATTCAGTGCTTACATAACTCATTCTATTTATGGTGTTGGTACTGTTGGGTTTTTTTAGTGGTGTGAATGGAAATGAAAGGAAAAAAGTTCCAAGAGAGTCTCTTGAAGTACCATGTTGGTAAGAAGTGGGAAGGCACGGTCGCGAATTCGGTCGATTTGATGTAATATGTTGGTAATCGGTAATATTGGTTTGTGTGACCAACCTGACCAAACCGAGTTGAACCAAATCGAACCGAACCAATGTGGCGGTTGGAATAATCAAACCGGTCCAACTATCATGGGCCGAACCGATACAATGGTTCATTACTTTTTAAATGAACCAATGTGTTGGTTGGGGTGTAACCACCCATATGAAGAGTTGCCTCCCTTCGTAAGCACCCCTTCATTTTCTATAAATAGCACCTAACCCCTCTGGTTTTGATACGTTTTTTCTGGTACCAAAACTCTGCTAAAATCCAAAACTAGTTTTCTGCATTCTTTTCAAAGAGAAAATAGAGTCAAGTGTGGTTCTTGCCGGTTTGCTGCGTTTGATGGTTTCCGGGGTTTGAGGTACCAAATAAATTTGGTTTTGTCAATGATACCAAATACTTTGTTTAGTATTTGAAATGAAAACGAAGTCATAATCATATTATGAGAAAACTTCAAGGGAATTCAACTTATTTGAATTTGAAGAATTGACACTGAATTCAAGATAGCCCTTCGTGGACTATGAGGTAGTTTGGATGGTTTCACACTATCATGTTAGAAAAATATGAACAACCATAGGTTAGTACTTGATATTTCCTATGCCATGAGTGCAAGGAAAATAAAGCTATGATTGATCCTTATAGGGATTTGATAAGCTTGCCAAATGATGATGGTCATCAAGATACGCATTAGGTCATAATTGTTTATGGTATAAGTACACTATACCATTGGAAAACAATTTCACTACGATTATCAACGTGGAGCTAGTTGCCAGAATTGTTTATGGTATATATAGATATATACCATAAACAATTCTGGCAACTAGCTATCATTGGAAAACAATTTGGCATGAGAGCTCAATTGAGATGATATAATTGAACTTAAAGTCTGGATTACTGATGATATATTTATGAAGTTTATACCATTGGAAAGTAATAAGACAATTGAAATAGAAATTCGTTTGAATTACTTGTGGTATATCATGTTACATAGATGAAATGTCATTGGTAAGTAATTAGATGGGATTTCCATTAGTGGAATGCATCTGAATTACTTTTGACGTCTCAAGTTGCCTTGATCAATACCATTGGTAAGTAAATAAATGATATTTCTAATAAAATCTGAATTGTTTGTGGTATGCTAATGGAGTGAGATCATACCATTGGTAAACAATTAGATACATATAGTGGTTGGCAAGTTCAATAAGTAAAACCATGGAAAAAATGGGCAGAATTGTGGGGGAGAAGAGCTAGCCATTGTTTCGGCCACTATCTCAAGACCCTACAATGAGATGTAAACCTATCCATAAAACAAAAGTGGGAAGGTGAAACAAGTCATACTTCAAAGTATGAAGGTGTACAGTGAGAAAGAGCAAGTCGATAAACCATGTGGAGTTAGCCAAATTCAAGGGTTAACTTATGAGTAAACTCTAGCATATGTTGACAGTTATGTCAAAGAGCTAGTTTGAGAAATCCAAAGAAGATTTCTTAGATATGTTGATCCACTCTTCCCAAAGGGTAAATAACGTCGACCATATACATGTGTATATGAACTACATTCCCTCTATTAGAAACATTTGGTTTCAACAACTATGGTGAAATAGTTGAAATGTGGGGGATATATTGGGGAGAAGTGATGTGGTCGCTTGGGTAATTCCAAAGTGAAGTGAAAGTGATACTTAGGAGTTTTACGTAAACCCTAAGCTAAGGCCCCGTTTAGTATTATTTTGTTGTTGTTGTGGTTGTATTGATGTTGTGCAAACACATACATAACCACAACAAGAAGGAAAAAAAAACAGATAACTCAAACCTGTTTAGTTGGTAAATAGGAGAAATTATAAAAACTCACAACAAAATACAGAAACACGTTTAGTTACTTCTCAGTAAAAACTAAAAACCAAAAATTAGCATACTTGACATCAATCAAGCAACCTAATTTCTAGTCAACAATTGTTATTAGTAACTAAATATGATCAAAATCCCAGAAAAATTGGGCCTCGGTTGGCAAGAGCAAGTGGCATTCTCTAAGACCGTGAACTGGGGCCATTGACCGTGAACCCAGGCGAGTGAAGGAGAGCATTTTGGATGAAGCTGAGTTCACGAATGCGTTTAGGAGTTCACGGCCGTGAATTGGCCAAAGCGTTCGTGAACTGGTCACTTTTAGGCAAATATGAAGACATCAGTGGGGAGAGAGAAAATGGAGCTGGTTTTTGGGAGAAGAAACACTTTCTTTCTCTAGGGTTTCAATCCAAAACACCAAAGGGGAGTTCTAGTGTGAGAGAGAGAGTGCTAGTGTGATCTTGGAGCATCATTGGAGGCTTGGGTGGAAGATTCAAGCATAGAAGAAGAAGATCTTGAGCTCAAAGTTTTAATACCTCTCTCTCTAGAAACTCACTCTTTTCTCTTGGGTGTTGTAGATCCATAGCTAATACTTTGTAATTACTTGTTTAGATTGAATGATTAAGTGTGGGTTTGCATTAATTTGAGTATTAGAGGTGTTCTCATGGTGATTGTGCATGCTCGTGCTTTGGTGCTAGCAATCTAATTAGGCACCTTAGCTTAGCTTAGAGAGGAAAATCCCCCTTCCGAGGGAGACTCAATCGAGTTGGTTTTCCTTCCGCTTTCTGAGCCACGTAAACTAGGTTAAGTTAGGGAAACCCTCAATCTTGAGTTAAGCAAATCGGTTAATCGCGATTAAGTCGTCCAACCTTAAAGTTGAGTGAGGGAGTAAGTCGATTACCGATTGTCTAAACCGAGAGGGTCGAGTGACACGACCTTTCATGCTTACCTCGGTTTAGCAATTGAGACTGTGGTCTCCGACCACATACGCTTTCCTCTGCGGTTCGTGGTTACCAGTTTGCATCTAGGTTGGTTGTGAGAGGATCGATCCCGTGACAAATCGACCTCCAGTGAATCCATTCCGTGACAAATGGATCACTAGTTGCTCCTCCTAGTGGTTCCCCTAGATCTGGTGAGTGGATCGACCCGTGACCAATCGATCGCTAGCGAATTGATGCCGTGACAGATTGATCACTAGTTGCTCACCCCCGAGGTTCACAACCACCTACGCCTCACGAATTCATTCAATCCAACAAGTCTTGGTAGCTAGTTAGGGGGAAGCTATTCCTAGGTGAAGCTCCCTTAGTTAGGTTCTTGTGTGGACCGAAACTTGAGGAGCAACCATATGACTCACGACGTTGAAGAAGCGCTCGGTGGGAGGCAACCCAACCATCAACGATGTGCATTTCTTTTCCCTTCAATAAGACGACCATTGGAGAGATTTTTGTGGTGTTTTGTTGTCTCCTTGCTCTTTCGGATCTCAGCCGACCTCCGCTCCCAAAAACCAACGTTCACAACTATCCGGTAACATCGTTCTACCTCCTAATTTTACATCATTGAGGGAAATGTAGAGCTTAATTGTGTGTGTGGGGTGGGGTGGGGGGGGGGGTGGGGGGCTAGTCTATTCTGCATGTGTGTGTGAATGATTGGTGTGATTTTGAACGCTTAGAGCCTCTTTGAATGCCAAATTTGAAAAAATATGAGGGCTTTAACCATCGCAACTTCTACATTTGCATCATCATAGTGGCACCTTTGATGATTTATTTTGAATCTCGTGGTTATTAGCATTGTTTATGGATGATTTGCTTGTGATTGTGTGCAACCTATTATGATGATTGAGACTGGTATTAGGTTTGTGCATAGGTTCATTTCTCATGTGTTTTTTAACTGATAGATGTTTTGAATCGATTACTTGCTTTGAAAAGTTGCCTATGCATCGAGTTAGGGAATTAGAACGAATGATTAAGCACCTAGGTAGCCATGTTAGACTGGTGTTGTTCGTTTCGTTCTTGTGCGATAGATCCCCCTTTACATGATGTGTAGCTTTCACGTTGTTGCTAGCAATAAAAATGAAAGCATAAGTTTAGTCCATGACCCAATTGTTGACCGACCCAATCATATCATCCCTTAGTCAACCCCTTTGAGCCGTGTGTCTAAGGGTCGTTCTCGTGTTAGGTAGCTCATGCCAATGTAGTCAAAATCGAGATTTCAAGTAAAATCGAAAACTTAGGTAGAATTGGAATCATAGATTAAAATCATGAAATTGTAAAATTTTTCATAT